TTTAAAATTCTCACTTTATACTCTTAAAAATTAAATTTCTCACATTGCGCATTCAATGTACCAAAAGTGTTATAATTTAACCCCTCTATTAGCATTTTGCTAATTTTTTTGTCAATGTCAATGAGTTGATTTTTAACAGGAAAAATAATATAAGTTAATAGAATAACCACATTACAATACTTTTGATACATTAAGAGTGCATTGTGAAAAAATTAATCTTTGAAGGTATAAAATAAAAATTTTGAAAATTTTCAGGATATAAAGTACTAAAAACTCTTTTTTTATGTTTGGAATGAATGAAAAACCGAAAGAAATAAAAAAATACATGTGTATATTTTATCATTTTATCCACAACTGAATTGAATATATATATATATATATTATGGAGTAGATCAACGTAATATATGTTTACTTTTCCATCATTGTTAAATATAATATTTTATTCATCTTTCCACTTTTTCATTCTTTTACTTTTTTATCATATGAAATATAACATTTTTCAGCGTAAAATGCGCACAATATTATTTTGTGTCAATTTTCTAACTTTTAAAGTGGTCAATATAAATTAATGACTAACCTTTATATGGGTAAATGGAAAAAAGAAAAGATGATAATCCAAACCATTAATATAGTGTGATAATCCAATTTAACCTTTTAATTATCAATTTTGTTTTATTTCTACCTTCAGATCAAATTGGACTACTCTCCGATAAATCTAACAGTGAAAATATATGGAATGACCTCAATTGAGACGAAATTAATAGTCAAGGGATTAAATTGAGACAATTAAAAATTTAAGGACCAAGTTAAAATAGAAGGCAAAGTTTAGAGACTAATTACAATATTTACCCGAAAGTAAAATATAATTTAAGAGAAGCAACTGAATTTATTACAAGATAAAAGGAAAGATTGAAATACAGTTACTCATATTATTAAAACAATAATACCACTTAGATTTATTTTTTTGACATAATACGTCGACTTGATTCATCACAATCATTGGATTGATTTGCAGGTTTCAATAAATATTGAGATTTTCTATTAATCCAACAATTATAAATAATTAAATCAATAAATTAAATCTAAATAACTTCTTCTCAGAACTCATCGACAACAACATAAGTGGATCGAAGATTTGGAGCAGCCGGCGCATGGAAAGCCCCTGCTGGAGCATTCCGCCTTACATTCTTTCTCCCCGATGTTGCATCACACTCCTTGATGCAAAGTTCCCTTCCTCCCGAACCTACCATAATGCACAAATGAATCCTTCCTATTAGGAAGAAATAAACAATAAAGAGTAAAGTGGAAGAAAAATAAATATTTTATTTAATTAAATTGGGTCTAGACTAGTTGATCATCGTTGATACGCCATACTGGAATAAAGTTGGAAAATTATACCTCTCCATACAAGGGCGAAGTTGAAAAATTATACCTAGGTGGACACTTTAATAAATTGTTTTTTAAACAAAATAGAGAGAAGAAAAATAATACATTAATATTAATTTATTAAACACAAAATGACTAAAAATCGATATTTATAGTGTATATAAGGGGGGAAAAAAACAAAAAAGATTGATTATACAATAACATCAATGCAAGAAAAAAAAAATTAGTTAGTTGTGAAAAATATGTTCAATGCAACAAATTTCTATCTCAATTTTTCTCATTTCATACTAGCTAAACTCATGAAAAAGTTCAAAAATTATCTCTTTTCTAGGAGAAAAATAAGACTAATTAATAGGAATGGCCAACTCTTAGAGGTAATTCAATGGCTGAACCTGGCCTCTGGTAATCCAGAGGTCTCAAGTTCAACACTTCTCGTATTTTTTAATGGTCAATCACTTTTATTATTTAGCGAGCATGTTATAAACCCGCTCGAACTATGGTGGATAGTATCCGAAGTCGAGAGAGTAGTCAATACAAATCTGAACACCTTGTCCTTAAAGAGAGAGAGAGAGAGAGATTTTACAATCGCTGAAAGAGGATCCAACGGATGCACTGAGAATGAGCAAAAAGATGAAGAGTTTGCCAAAACCCATTTCTCTTACTTTCTTCCAGTGCTTCACATATTTTTGTGCTGGAGATATATGCTTTATATAGAAGAGTGCATAATAAGAATAAGTGGGGAACTATAATCTTTTAAACAATTCTTTATATTTATCTGGCAAAAGTTAGATTCTGTCAATATGATTTTTTTTCAATTTTCCTTAATGAGAGATTATCTACCACTATAAATGTGGGTGGAACATACTATATGTGTCAGATATCGTTTTATTATGGGTAAATTTACATAAATGTATTCCTTCTTCAATAAAAAGTTCAAAGTATAAAAATATGTTGTTTATTATAAGCCCAAAAAGTTTTTTTTTTTTTTTTTAAAAAAAGGCTCACAAAGGGCTAAGGATAAGAGTTTGCAATTCTATCTCCCTACTACTATGTGTTTTCTCTCTATCCAGGACGGAGCCAAGATTTTTTTTTTTATAGGGGTCAAATAGTTATCTAAATATAAACATTTATTCCATTAAAGTTATTCAATAAATTATTCGTAGCGTCAAATTAGTTATATTTATTTTTAATAAAATCAAAAAAAAATTCTCTTTTTGTTAAATGAATTAGATGTGAAAAAAAATTCAAATTAATTCTACAAATAGAGAGATGCAGATATCTAAAGTACAAAACACCCTAAATCTATTGAGTGTGCATATTTCTCAAATATAGATTCAATGCAACATTAAGCCCTAATCAGAAAATTAAACTAAAATTTAAGTTTAAGGTTCCATTTTCTCTTAACCGAGCTCATATTCATAGTTTTCCCATAAGCTAAAAGTTAACTTAATAACTATAATAATAACATAAATGAAAAAAAAATTTCTCTTATTGTACAAGGATTAAGTTGATACTTGATAAAAAAAATGATATTTTATTCATAAAACATTAGTTAACATGCTAATCACGTCAATTTTATAGATTATTAGTTTTGACACTAACTCTGACCTATTTATTATTTGTATTAGTAAGTCATTTTATTTTTAAGTTCATGTTGAGAAATGACCAACCCTCTCTCACTGACTTCGTATCAATTTCGAGGAATATTTTTGTTCAAACTAAGAAATTATCACCCTTAAGTCCTTCATTTTCTTCGTAGCTATGTACTCTCAAGTTCAATTCATTCGATACTTTCACATTAAACTGTCAATCTTTTTCATATCGTTCCATTAACTATCATATTTTTCACATTGTACTTTTAATTTTTGTTTACATTATCCCCTCAATTATCAATTTACTCACATTGCAACTTCAACTATGTTTTAAGTTTCAGATTGCCCTATTATTATTGTCCCTTACAAATGTGGCAAAAAAATATTTCACTTTTCCCCCTCAAAAATTAGTAATTCAAGGAATAAAATGAAATTAAACCCTTAATAACGGGGGTCATAGTGTAAAAAGATACATCAACTATGCATCAAACCCAAGAAAAAATAAAAATTATCATGCATCATTCTAGATCACGTCGAAAATAAGTAAGTCCAATGAAATTTACAAATAGCTAGATTCATTTACAAGTTTAACACTAATTGACAGTTACCTAACGAACTCTTTTTTTTTAGCTGGATTTGGGATCAGTTATCTAAGAGAGAGACACTAAACACGATGCCGGCGAAGCTACGGAACCTTTCACAAAAATGCAGCAACTGTTCTCTCTGCAAATTATTTGTACTCCTAGCCCACTGGTCTGTTTATGCAAAATTGACAGAACATTGAAGCAGATCTCCTCAAAAATACTTTTTACTTTGCGCAAAAACCCAAAAACTGATGAAACCGCTCTTGCATTATGTACGGTGACTTTTGCATAATAGATAAATTGACAGGTCTCTCACTTGATTAACTCGAGATTAACTGAAAAGTCAGTGGTCCCGTAACAAATGGGTGTGAGAGATGGTGTAAGGAGTGGTGATAAACTATTTTTCTAATTGTCTGGAAGATCTAAACTTATCGAGATGAGTCCTGTCACTCAAAGAGAAAAGTTAGAAGGACGTCAGAGTATTTTTCGATGTGACTCTTCCGACGATCAAGTCAGTACGTGAGAGGGGTGGAAAATCAATATTCTATGTGCTTGGATGAGAATTTGTGTACCTTAAACTTGGGATTGAGAGAGCTGCTTGTACCTCTATGAAGTCAATCATTGTAGACAATTCAGTCCCCTAGAGGGAAGGCTCCTCATTGGCTCATTTGGAAGGCAGAAGGTGATGCTCAATCCTCGAGCAACAAGCCTTTCTCTTTACATGATGAAAACTCTCACATTTAATGCTCGGGTCCTCCTAAGCTCACTGAGTAATAAATGCTCTTTATTCTTTTGAGGAAAACATTTATTGTGACCTAGTTATGGTTGCGCATGTGCAAGACACTTTTGTCCATCACCCCTCTAAAGAGCTAACATTTTAAAATTTTATACTTTGTACATCTTTATCATTGGTTATTGAACTATTTTTCTTGCTATTTTGACCGTCTTGGAAAGAGGGAGCCGATCATTGACAACCCACTCTGCTTACAAGTCACGATAATCGTTAAAAACTCTTATCCATGCTTTGTCGGCATGGAAGACTTGATGCCGAGGTGATGTGTCATGTAGAGAGTGCTCTGTAGACAAAATGCTGACGATGAGTGTCATCCAAAGAATACTCCGCAGACAAGATGTCAAGAACTCTGAGGACAAGATGCCGATGACGCGTGTCATCCGGAGAACACTCCGTGGACAAGATGCCGATGATACATGTCATCCAAAGAATACTCCATAGACAAGATTTCTCAGGACGTGTGTCATCCAAAGAACACTCCACGGATAAGATGCTGAGAACTCCGCGGACAAAATGTCGAAAACTCCATGGACAAGATACCGAGGACATGTGTCGTCCAAAGAACATTCTATAGTCAATATGTCAAGGAAACGTGTCGCATCACCCTTGATCACAGAAAACGTCCCATCACTCCAAGTTTAATAGTCACCGCCGGTGTTTAACTTGGTTGTTGTTCTGCAAATCCTTGACTTGAGGAAGAGCAAGTGTTTCATTGTTTCCAAAACCTGTTAATCCGATCGCTACTGCTTCAAGAGGCTGGTGAAGGAGAACACACACTTTCAACCGAAGCTCAGCATTATCTGCGTTACGGTTCTGCAAATTGTTGATGTGTATCCAACAACCATCATTCACACAAATTCCCAGCAATGACAGAAAATAGAATATAGAAACAAGGGAAACCTGGTGAATGCTTCTTGGCAGAAAATTTTCAAAATCCACCTCGAAAAAAAGGAGGCTAGAGTGATGTTGAAGAAGAAAGTACGAACCATGTTGCAACACCATCAAAACAATGCTTCAAACAGATCCATAGAATAGATTGAGTTTTTGCTGAACCAAGGTAATTCAACTGTGGAAACATGATGCTTGTTCCCATGCCCCCTTTGCCAGAGGGTCCCAGTAATTTTTCATCCGAAGCAAGTCATTGATAAGTCTAATAGTCATTGAGCTCGATGGTAGCATACTAACTTCACTAACTGCCTTTGAAAAACACATTAAAAAGCAGACCCTACTTTTTGTGCTATCAACTAGTAAAAAAAATCTCTCCGGTACTTGAATCCAAGTGAAAATGCAACTTCTTCCTGGAAGGTCATCCCTTACTCCATTCTTTCCTAAGTTCAAGAATGACGGGATGAGAGACTTCCTAGAAGGGCATCCCATATTCTATTCCTTCCTAAAATTAGGAATGGCGAAATGACTACCTTACTAAAAGGACATCCCTTACTTCATTCCTTCCTAATGTCAGGAATGGCAGGATGGATGGAATTCTTTAGTAACACGGTCTGATTAGCACCAACATTTGCCATGTGGGAAAAAACACAGGTGCCATGATTGATATCAAATCAGATTCGGATGTTACACAAAAAGCTAAGTGAACAAGGGAAAAAATAAAACAGAACCCTAAAGTTCCATCACTGCCTTGTGCAAAAACACTAACTTAAAAAACCACAATCAGCTAGGCCAACAATTGGTGATATCAGCAAGCTGCCTGACGTTCAACAGATATGTTCACAAAGGACTTTTCTTCTTCATATTATTTCAACCAAAATATAATTTCCCGGCCAGCAACTTCATGGGTTAGCGAAAACAAAACAAACAGCTGAAGGAAAAATTGTCATCCATAACATATGAATAAATAAAGATTGGGGTCTACATAGCTTGGAGTAGGACAAAAGCAGCAAAAGAAAAACTTAAGTAAAATTTACATACCAAGGCACAGCTACCACATAATAAATATTAGTAAAAGGACAACATCCCCTTCTCAATTTTCAAATGACTCCTTATGTACTATAAAATTCAACAAGTGGGTATTGATGGAGGCCATAAACAAAGAACCAAAGAAAAAGTTCTTACTCACTGTTCTGGAATGCTCAACCTGTGGAGTACACCATAAACACCAGGATTGATCAGATGTACAAATCAAGACCTATAACCCTTTTGGGCACCTTTTGCAACAAGGAAACTACATTTATCTTAAGACATGTTTGCTAATTTTCTCAACAATCTCTTGTGGATGTAACGTTTTCAAACAAGCTTCAGAAGGAAACATCAGGGGCGTGTTTGGTTTAGTTTTCGAAAACTGTTTTTTGTTCTCAAAATTTTAAAAACACCTAAAACCTTTTTGCTTTAATTTTTCCTGAGTTACATGTCTATCACAGTGATTCATACTTGAATTTGTTTCGGAAGTTAATCATCTTCAAAGTTTTCATGTATTTTCACCCCAAAATGGAAAGTTTGTATTTCCATATGCACAAACGGGTAAGAATGAAGTCTAGGTCCAGCCACCATATATGAGATACTTTCTCTCCTAATAAGCCAAACCACAAAAGCAGATTTCCACGCTAATGAAGGCCATACCAAATTATAAACCTTGAGCCATGACTTTAGTTCAAGGAAAAAGATCAACCTTATTGATCAGCTTTTAAGGAAGCTGCTGACAATTGAAGTGGTTCTTTTCTTATTTCTGGAAGAAACATCCTAAACATTGACCTATGACCTCATTCTCTAGAAATTTGTTAACTAAAGTCAACAGCTAACACTGATTACCAAAGTCTAACCATCTTCACTTCTACAAACTATGATCAGCTATCACATCATTGCAAACCAGACAACTAGATGCAAGTTTTTCACTTGCTGTGTCTGACTCCTCTGATGGTCTTAATGTTTAGGGTGAAAATGAAGCCGTGCATGATATGTGAACACAACATGGACCAAATTATTGTAAAGTCGAGCAAGTAGACATCATTGCAAGTAGAATTATCTTGAAGCATAACCTAAACCCAATTACCACTAGTTACCCGATTGTATGAGTAGAGCCATATATCGACCATTAGTTGTCTGTTTCACATTCATGATCATTGACTTGGATACAGTCAGTCAAGTGGAAAGCAGATTCTTAACCAGAGGAACTTTTAAGGATGGTTGGAATATCAAGCAGTCCATAATCAGTCAAAAGGAAAGTAGTTTCTTAATCAGACAACATCCTTTGGGAAGAAATTTTTAGTTACTACAGATACTGATTCGAGCTGCTAAATGCAAAAGACAAAAGGTTTAGAGGAACTCCTAAATTAATTCAAATCAGCACAGATTCAAGTTGTTCTTATTGAGACTACATTTTGGTTACAAATTTTTGATTATCTAGAGGGAGCAAGAACGAGATCCATCTTTCCTACCATCAAACAGATTATAAGTAAATCAAACAAACATGATATTTTCACAAGTTTTTACAGATTAAGGCTCATCATCGAGGGAATAGTGAATTTTTTTGCATCAATTTTTTTTCGAAAGTTGGAAGCTTATTTCTTAGAGATTCTCGAATTTCACCAGTTTATTTCTCTTTGTAAACTCACACAAATCCCTGCGATGATCACTTCTTAAAAACAATCAACGAGACAAAGGCAAGCGAAGACAGAAAATGTATGTAACAATTTCAACACAAACTTAACAGAAAATGTATGTAACAATTTCAACACAAACTTAACTTGAAAGTGCTTTTGCACAACTTTGTGACTCACAAATTCACAAATGGGGAAGCCAGAAGGCAAGGCATGGAATGCAGATAAATGGAACAGAACTCATGATGTATCATTTCAACATATTAGTTCCACTCGAGTTTTGTGATTTTGTCATAAAGTTGGAAGATTATAACAAATATCAAACGCAGATCCTCCAAAGTTTTCTCCTAATGTGCCATTCAGTGCATTCTTCTTAAAGTATGCTGATCTGCTTAAAGCAGAATAAAATTAAACAAAGCATTCTCCTTAAAGTAAATAAGAAATGGTAATAATCAACATTTAGCAAGATTTCCTACAAAATTTCTCATGCAATACTGTTACGAGAATGTATCTGCTTAAAAGATACAAGAAGCAACAAATTGACACCTATCACAAACCAGGTGGCCTATGTAATAGAATTTATAAACTCCAATTTAAGCATTACTCACTTTCTGAAGGACAACATGTATGCATCGAAAAAGGATAAATTCTTACTTTATTGCGTCTTTATTTTCTTAAATTTGTACAAAAGGGAATCTATAGATTTTTGTATCCTGGAGCTTTCGGCTTGCCCCACTGCCTGAGATGCCTGGTGTAAACTTTGAATCCCACGACCCAAACTTGCAATTGAGGGAGCTGCAGGAAGGGATTCAGCAACACATTCAATTCCATCTCCATACGCAAGCAAGCCTGCACAAGTAGCAATACTACACCCGAATGTAGCCCACGGCAGAAATCCAATTGGCCGAACCCGCCGGTTCCTCATTATTTCATAAAATGCTGTTCTCATTGCCGAAAGGCTGGTCTTCTCAGCAGAGGCTATAACACTGTGAGCCACAACACGAATCTTCTCAGCAGAAGCAGTTGCCTTCAAAACAGATGTTGATTTGAGTCCAGAATTTGCAATTCCAGAGGCTACCAGTTTTGAAGGACCAAGAGCCTTGCCAAACACAATAGTAACAGCCTTTTGAGTCTGAGTCATCATAAGTTTAAGAGAAGCAGGAACTTTGAAGGTGACAAGCTTCACGAAAGTTGATGCAGGAACAACTTTAGAGAGAGATGAAGCTCCTAAAACTGCTGTTGCTCCTGCCCCAACAGCCACAACCGGTTTATTGGACAATAATCGCTTTCTATCATTATGGTTTGGAGTTTCCCCCTCATTTGCACAATTAGTGACCAACTGTTCAACAATATCCTTGACCTCTGGTGGAACCTGAGTATTCCAATGTTTCCTTAGACCAGCTAAGCCACTAGCATCAACAATCGCTACAATGGACTTAAACTTCTTCGTCTGGCTTCTAAGGGCCTGCGCAAGAAGAGCATGTGACTTATCATCAACAGGAAGCTCGGAAAACTCAGCTTTAGTTAAGCCAGGGTTCCTCATTTTGTTGATAGGGAGCCTACTGGCATTATTTAGAGCAATTCTTAGTCCCTCGACTGCAATTCGGAAGATATAGATTTCTGATAAGAATTGGGTATCAACAACTTCTCCCCGACTCACATCATAGAGGATCTTCTGTGCATGAGCTAGAGCCATACCAATTGAGGGTATGTCAATAAAAATATTATACAAATCAACAAGCAAGGGATAAACAGTTTGGGCAAATTGCGGGGCCTCATAATCCTCTTTCAGTTGAATATCTCTGGAACCCACATTTGGAACAGAACCTGAATGAATTAAATATGACGATAACGACCTCACCATCTGTGACTGATACTCATTTGGAATACAAAACCTACTTGAGCTTGATGGAACTACAAAACCCATTTTTTGTGGAACTAAACTATTCAGCTGTAATGCTAAAGCTTGAAACTTGTTCCCCGACTCGGCTTCACCCGAGGGATTAAAACTATCGTCCGCACCAGATTTCACCAACGGCGACTCAAGAAACAAGAACGATGAACCAACTTCTTGAGCCACCCTTCTGGCTGCCAAGAAATGCCCATGAAAACTGATTCCAAAAATCTCCCTCAAAACCAAACTCCCAGCTACGTTCTCATACTTCTCTTTATTTAGCTTTTGAACAAAACACCTTTTCAACACTTCAAACGATGAAGTGGGAAGTGGGTTATTTCTATCACTCCTAAATTCAATTTCTTCGGACTGAATCTCATTCAGCGCGGAATGACCCACGTGGGCCACAACAGCATCGGGTCTAATTTCTCTAATAAGATACTCAGCATCCAAAGCTGACCTCTCAGATAAATTCTGAACACACAATATATATATCACAGCCTGTGATTCGGGTTCACGAATGGCAAAAACAAACTGTTTCGTGTGTTCAGGTACCGATAGTTTCCTAACTAACCCATCTGATACACTCAAATCATCAAACTTTAAAGCCGAAAAAGGCCATATATTTTGGATATAATAAAAAACCCCCATTGCCCTCGCATAGGGTATTGATTGATATGTGATACACAGTAGCTCTGTTCACTTCATCGGAAAATATCTACACGAAAAAAAAACCCACTTCGACCCTACAATCAATAAGGCTTTACCACTAAAAACAGCCCTCAATTAGAGCATGAACTTACCAAACCACTGAAACCCAGTTTAGAGGCAAGTCTATTATTCAATCGGTATCAACCGGATATATCAGAAGATCAAGTTTAGAGCAAATTACTTCGAAATTTACTCGGAAAGTGGAAAAATCGGAAGGGAAAACATGATGCTCTAACCAAGAAAAACGATAATAGTTGATTGAAGATAAATAAACGTTTTACACATCAAAAAAACACATATGTATCTGTACAATTATAGAGTTATACTTTTACAGGTACCTGATGTGAATAATGATTTAAGGACACCCAGATGGTGAAGGAAGAGGATGATGGGAAGGGGGAGGACTTTTGGGTGAGATAATCACAGTTGATGGGTTCGTTGCCTTCTCTGGAATGGTCTCTGGTTCTCTGAAACATTTTTTAGGTTCAATATATTTTATACTTACTGAGTTAATGGGTCAATAAAATTATAAAACTAGCAAGGAAAAATTACATTTTGACCCTCTAAACTATAGAATTAATTTTACTTTGCTCCTTAAACCATTTTTGTCCCAATTGCGGACGTGTCTGAAAAAAGTGAAAAACATACATAGTTCTAGAGGCAAAATAAAATATTTTTTTGTTAAATATATAACGAATATTAATAATTAGGCTAATATAAAATTAATCATATAGTTTAGAATATAGCATGAAAAATATAATAATTAAGTAGATAATATAAAAAATATGATAGTTGAGAGATCCGAATAAAAAAAAAAATTCATAGACGAGAGAGTGAAATGCAAGTTTTTTAACTAGTAAATAAACTTGTCGGAAAAATAAAAAGAAGAATAAAAGTAGTAAATAAATCACTGCAAAACCAGTGAATAAAGTTTCTTGGTCTGGGCCTTACCGGTGGACCCTAAAATTTACGTTAAAAACATTAATGGATTCTTTAGAAGTCGGTATACATAATTATACTTATTTGATAAAAAATATATAAATAAAATATTTTAGAAAAAAGTACACAGTTGAGATACAAAGATGTAAATGACCATTTTAGGGTCATTTAATTTAAAATTTCTTATTTTTAATTCACCTTGATTCATGTATATTTGTTAATACATATAAATACGTTTATATATAAATATATACTTGTTTGAATTTATATACATATATATACTTGTTATTAAATCAAATATTCATCTCCATATCTAACTAACTAAAATTCCCAAAATCAAACGAAAAGAAATCCTTAATGTTACATCCAAATCAAATTAATATACTTTGACAACTAACTAAAGAACACCTATGCCGCTATCAATTTATTAGAGTTAAAAAATTATAAACTAAAAAAAATATCTCTAAACGTCCAGTACTTTTGGATCCACTTCATGATCCACCTTAACATTCTAATTTATCTGCTCACCTAGCCTAAGACCTTACTCAATATCGAAATCTGATAAATGTTATATCATAAGATGAGAAAAAATATCAATAGAAAAACCCTCTCAAATCCAAAAAAATTTAGAAATAATAAAAATAAGTAGTTCTTAGTTATAAAATAACATATATGGTTTTGAGATAAAGTAATGACATTAAATAATGATCTCAAATTTATGGTACAAACCAATAAAGTTTATAATATAATAGTATCACTTAAACAAAAACAACAATTCATACTATAATATCTCTTGTACCCATGTTTTGTTTTTTTTTTTTGATCAAATCATGTATGCAAGTTGCTTGTATAAATCTATATACCGAACTTATCTCGTTCACCCACTACAAATACAAACTATCTCAAATCAATCCCCGCATAACCACAACACTTTAAGAAATGCGTATACCGATGTATTAACATTGATGTATTCTTTCTTATGAATAGTATATTAGTCCCTATCCTTGAACCTATGTGGACAAATAGTGATTAACCCTAGCAAGAAACCAAATTCTATACGAGTGTTAAATAACCATCAAATCCCTTAAATTAGAAAAACCTACAACACTTTACAATACGCATTCGAGTATTACCCACGTTCATTACACTTACCCATACCAAATATAATAACAACACTTTTTTTTTTCCACAAAAAACCACGTACATCAAAATCTATAGTTCCACAACCCTCAAGTAAAAGAATAATTGAAGCAAAACATGCAAGAGATCTTAAAAATAAAAATTCATATTCACCATATTCAAGATCTAGAGTTTCAATAAAAAAAAAACATATGATTTTGGGATGTAAAATATGTAATTGGATGTAATTTATGTATTTATTCAATAATTTAACCATATATTAAAAAACAATGTAAAAACTTTATATATCTATCACATATATAGAATGGAAGTCAATAATTAGGTTTTTCAATCACGAGCGTATAAGCAAATTATATATTTTATTAAAGAAATGAATCATGGATTCAAACGAACGTAAAAACATTGTAGACAAGGACAAAGCCAAAATACAATGTTAGGGGGCAAAATTTGACTAGAAAATACATTGGCCGAAAACAAATTAAATTCAAGCATGACACAATATATTAAGATTTAAGACTCAACTAATGTATGATACAGTAAAACTAATTTTTATCTATTCTAAATGAAATCGGAGTAAAAATCATATAAACTAATTTTTTTCGGTGGAATACAACGATCTTTTACATATCAAAGATTATTTACAATAGATTAACTGGAAGCTATATTTCTTTGTCATTCTTTTTTGATGTACACAACTATCGAGTCCGACACAAAATTTTCATTTATTTTGTGCAAAATAATTCTAATAAAAAAATATTATTTGGTCAATATTAACTTTATAATTTTTAAAAAAAAAAAAAACGGATGATGCACTAGATCAAAGAGAAGTATTAAATTGGCTCAATATATACAGGTCATAACATTTAACATATGTTTTATACAAGCAAAAAATAAAACACTTATTTTAGGGGTATGTCCTTAAATTACAAAAAATTAAACAAATTAAGAGAGGGTAAATATATTAATTAAACAAATTTATGGCGCATATATAAAGGTAGTTCAAAATTCAGGGGAAAGTGCCCCCCTCAACCAAATGTGGCTCCAACCTCGATCGTAGATATATTATTTATATCATAATAAGGATGAAAAAAATATAATATATAGTCTTAATCATCTATGAATAAATCTAAGAAAGAACTCTTACTTTAATCCACAGATAATTGATCTTAACATGTCTTAATGAGATTACCATGCATTAATCCTTTATGATTTAGCCCGTTCTTCCTCTTTTTATTTTTCTCAAACTTTTATAGGTTTCTTGGGGTTGAAAAATATGTAAAGTCACTTTACATATTGACCCTAAGGTATTTATAGGTTGAAAAAAATGAAGAAAACTCTATAAATCTAGCGCTGCTATTTTTATCAATGCGTCTAGATGGTACCAACTCTTTCTTTATACTTTATTTTGATGGTACACACAATTTCATTTTCGAGACAAGCGTCCAAAGGTTGCATGGGGCATTTGAATTCTGAAAACTTTATATACAAACTTGCGGCTCCCTTTTAACCTAGTTAGAAGTTGATTCAAGAAATTTTCATACTTTTGTAACCCTTGAAGTCTAGTTTCTACTGTCCAAAAATCAGATCACTTGGAAGTCGGGGTAAAAAGTTAAATCCAAAATACTATAGGTATTGTCAAATTTATTTTTACTTGAATTCTCTCCAAAATCGGGTATAAGTCCAAAATACTTTCAAACTTCTAATATACTCTATATCATCTCTTCCAAAATTTATCAAACTTTAGGATTCAATGTTAGCCTTATTTTGATCTTGAAACATACAAAAACTTACCTAGCTATCATTTTCAAGCTTAAATACATTCAAAACTAAATTTAACCCAAATGTTAATACGCCCAGAATACAAACTTTATAATCAATCTTTTAACAATAATTCGAAATTTCTATTATCCTTTTATTCATTTGAAGAGAATTTTTAAGATGATATTATATTTATTTAATTATAGTATAGGGCCTTACATTTCCCTATTAAGTTCGGGTTGTTATGGTAACACCACCCAAGCAGGGGTTCCACCCCGATTGCCCCTCTAAAACCCATTTTCTTTTTTTATGTTTTTTCAAAATAAAAATAATATTTTTTACCATTTATTTTTAATTTTTTTATTGTGCAATCTTATTTTCTTTCTCTTGCATTAATCACATTTGTAGCAATATGCATATAAAGTGCTTAAATATCACCTATATAGTACGATCCATGTCTATCTTTTATTTATACTAATTATACATGTTTTTTTTTTTTTTTTGATGATTTGTTTTGCTAAAAAATTAATTTTTTTCATTTGAAAATTTGAATTTATTTACCAATAAAATTTTTAAATCTCATACTAATTTTATGGGCTTATCAAATTCATCTTCCAAGCATTTGTAAATATCATGTCAATTTTTTACCTTATTAAATTTTATCTGTAAAGCAAATTTTAAAATATTTTGCTAATTTATTAACTAGAATTCGTGACCCAATCCATAAATTTTCAAAGTACCATGTGTATTTTACTACTTGGAACTCGTCAAACAATTCAATAGGCATTGAAATATGCATCTAGTTCACTCTAAGAGCCAAAAACTTGTATACTATATCATTTTAAAATTTACAACCTATGTTCATTTTTTCTAGAATCAGTAAGATAAGAAAGATAGATTGATATTGAAAATAAAAAATTATAGGTAAAGAGGGATAGATTGATATTGAAAAATAAAAATTGTGGGAAAAGAGGGATAAATTGAAAATTCCAATTATTCAAAAACCAATTTCCTAGAACAAATACATTTTGTTTGTATTACTGTGCAAAAAAATTTTTTACATGTAGAAAACTTCATCCAGTGTAAGAAAATTTATATCCAAA